CAGACCGAGGGAGAACCGCTAGGAACAGGGGCTAGCCCCGGGGTCAGTGCATGAGCTGCTGATATGGGCATGAGGTCTCTAGTGATGGTGGAATCCAAATTAAAGCTAGTGAGGGCACGAGCACCTGGGTGGCTCCATCAGTTAAACATCTGACTCTTGATTTGGGCTCAAGTCATGATTTCACAGTTTGGTGAGTTCAAGCCCTGCCTCGGGCTCTGCACTCACAGCACGGAGCCTACTTGACATTCTCCCTCTCTCTCTGCCCCCTCTCCTGTTCACAGTTTGTTTGTCTCTCTCAAAATAAATAAATAAACTTAAAAAAAGAAAAGCTGTAAGAGCTTGCCAAGGATGCTACGAAGAGGAGGATGGGGAGATGGAGGGAAATTAGAGGGACCTCTGTGGGTCTGGGACTTCATTTGTGGGCCTTGTGGCTATGCGGTGGGTCAGTGGGCGGGTGTGGGGCTGACAGTGTAAGGCCCTGATATTCACCCTCACACTCACTTTAGGAGGCCTACTTCAAGAAGCACAAGTTCAACACGGTTCCAGGTGTCCAGCTCAGGAACGTGGACAGGTCGGGGATGGGGACAGAGCAGAGGGGAGGATATCTAGGAGCCTTAATGACCAAGCCCCAATATTCCCCTCCAACCCTGGGGCCTGATCTTTACCCCAGCCCTGCTGCCACCTAGTTCCCATGTAATCCCTTGCCCCACCCCTGGAACCTGAGGGGCTACCCCTCCCCTTGACCCATTTCTCCTTCTCCTTCAGTCTGAAGAAGGAAGCTTATGAAGCAGAAATTCACAGGCTGCTCAGGTATGGCGTACGGCAGTGGGGCTATATGGCAGGGCGTGAGGAGGCAGACCCTGGGGGTCTGGGCCCCGTTACTTTTGGAGCCCACTGCAAAGTGAAAAGCAGGACACCTTGTTGCACTATTAAGAATTTCAAGACAGAAATAGCAGAGCTTTAAACTAAGCTCAAGGCCTTGTATAACACACCCACGAAGCAGGCTGTGTCTTGGCCTTTCTCCTCTACCCTCTGCTGCAGCGAAGCTGAGGTTCTGGACCACAGCAAGAACCCTTGTGAAGACTCTTTCCTGCCAGACACAGAGGGCCACACCTATGTGGCCTTCATCCGAATGGAGAAAGATGATGACTTTGTCACCTGGACCCAGCTTGCCAAGGTGCCCCACTAACACACCCATCCCAGGCTTACTCCTCCCCACCAAATACAGGCAGCCTTTGTTCGGGAATCTTCTACCTCAGAACCTTCTCTTCATAGTCTGGGAACCCCTCTTTCAACCCCTTTGTCCAATTCCATATTCTAGAAGATGCTACCTCTTACAAATTGAGGAGACTGTTGAGGGGGGTGGGGGCTGGGCCAAGGGTCCTCAGTGGTCCCTCCCCACAGCTCTCTGACCTTTGCCTCTCACCCTATCCCACTTCTACCAGTGCCTCCATATCTGGGACCTGGATGTGCGTGGCAACCACCGGGGCCTGTGGAGATTGTTTCGGAAGAAGAATCACTTCCTGGTGGTAGGCGTCCCAGCCTCCCCCTACTCGTGAGTGACTCTTCTGCCCTGGGAAATGGGAGTCTGGTGGGATTAGGGGACACAGCTAATGACCTCTTCCCTATATATTTTCTAATTATCTTTCCAGGGTGAAGAAGCCACCATCCATCACCCCAATTTTCCTGGAGCCACCCCCAAAAGAAGAGGGAGCCCCAGGAGCTGCAGAACAGACATGAGACCTCTTCCAGGACCCTGTAGAGCTGGGTACTGTGTACCCCCAGGCAGGCTAGCCCTTCACCCCATCCTGTAGGATTTTGTAGACACTGGCAGGGGTTGGGGCTGGTTTGTTTTTAACATGAGACTTAATTACTAACTCAAGGGGAGGCTTCTCCTGCTCCAACACCCCTGTTCTTGAGTTGGAGGTCTATTTATTTACTTCCTTGTGGGAAGGGGCAGGATAGTACCTGGGAATCACTGGGGTCCCTGGGCAGCTGATCCTGCCCTTTGCACACTCCCTCCTCCCAAGCCTGGCTCAGAATCTAACCTATTTATTGACTGTCCTGAGGACCTTGGGAACAGGCTGAAGCCTGGAGGGCCTTGATTCCTTTCTTGGCTGGGGTGCTGCCCTGAGGGTGGGGCTGGCTCTTACTCAGGAAACTGCTGGGCCCAACCCATGGACAGGCCCGCTGGGGCCCACCTGCTGATGCAGACTCACTCAGAGACCCTCAGACACTGAACCAGGCCTCTGCTCAGCCTCCTCTTTGTCCAGGTTTCCAAAGCTGGATAAGGTGGTCATTGATTAAAAAAGGAGAAAACCTCTGGGGATGTGTTTTATGATGGTGTGACGTGTGTGTGTGTGTGTGTGTGAGAGAGAGAGAGAGACAGACAGACAGAGAGAGAGATGGGTAGGAGAGAGAATGGTCATGACGGATAAAGCGTTTTCCTTACTGTACTCCACAGAGTTTAGCTTCCATTTGGTGCCATTTGGCCACCAGGGGATGCCCCAGTCTCAAACATCAAGGTTTTTCCCTAAGCTCCACCGTAGGAGAACTGAGGCTGACCTTAGCCCCAGTGTACTTGGGGCTGAGCTTACAGAGCCACCCCAAGCCCCTTCCCCACCAGGCTGTTAACCTGCCTAGCTTGTCTGTTTAGGTACCTGTCTCCAGAGATGAAACAAGAGAACAAAAGGAATACTTGGCATTAGGGGAGGCGATAGGAGAGAGGTGAGTCTAGAAGGGTTGGAAAGGAAGTGAGTGAAACAACTGGGGTGGCATCATTCAGGAGGCTAGGGCTGGGTTGCAGATGGAGTTCTAGGAACAAGGATCTGTGGTCCTTAGGGTACTTTTTTAAAATGTTTATTATTTTAATTTTTTTATGTTTTATTTATTTTTGAGAGAGAGGGCACATGAGCAGGGGAAGGCAGGGAGAGAGAGGGAGACATAGAATCTGAAGTAGGCTCCAGGCACTGAGCTGTCAGCACAGAGCCCGACGTGCGGCTTGAACCCATGAACGTGACCTGAGCTGAAGTTGGACATTTAACTGACTGAACCACCCTGGTGTCCCTTAATGTTTATTTATTTTTGAGAGAGAGAGAGCAAGTGAGTGGGAGGGAGAGGAGCAGAGAGAGAGGGAGACAGAGGATCATAATCAAGCCCTGCTTTGATGGCAGAGAGCCCGATGTAGGGCTCAGACTCATGTACTGCGAGATCATGACCTGAGCCGAAGTCAGACACTTAACCAACTGAGCCACCCAGGCGCCCCCTTTGGTACTTTGTATGCAGATTTCCATATCTAGACATTCTTCTGGAGAAGAGCCATCAATTTCTTCTTTATTTTTTAATGTTTATCTTTGAGAGAGCATGAGTGGGGGAGAGGTAGAGAGAGGGCGATAAAGGAACCGAAGCGGCTCTGTGCTGACAGCAGCAAACCCGATATGGGGCTCAAACTCACAAACTGAGATCATGACCTGAGCCAAAGTCGGATGCTCAACCAACTGGGTCCACCCAGTTACCCTGAAAAGCCATCATTTACATCAGATTGTCACCTAGCCAGTGATCCAAAGAAGTTAGGAAGTACTAACTTAGTCATAGAAGCACCAGGAAATGGATGTGACTGTCTAGAAGGAGTGGATAAGAAAGCCTAAGGTAGAGGGCAGGACATTTAAGGGATCCACTATAGACCACACATCTTGAGAAGGGGTCAGCCTGCAGAGTCCTTTCGAGGTAGCCTGGTGAGCTCCTTATGTAGAGTCTTGGCCAGGGAGGCAGGAACTGACTAGAACTCCCGTCCTTTTACCGTCTACCCCTCCCTCCACCATGGCTCAGGTGCGGACATTTCTCGCCACCCTGACGCCTTCAGTGTTTGCTGGAGCTAGAGATAGTGCTTTAGGTGCCCCAGCAGCCAAGCTCAGGAGCAGTTAGCTTTTGGGGTGGAGGCCCTCCCTGGGCAAACAAATCCCCGGCAGCTTCCATGTAGGCACCTGGGGGAGGGTGGTGTGTGAGAGACGGTAAGGCGGTGAGGGCAGGGAGAGGGACCAGTTGCTCTCCCTGCCCAGCCCCCAGCAGACTCCTGATCTGGGCCTCAGACCGGCTCTCAGGCACTGTGTGGCTCTGGCCAGGTTGCTGTTCCTTTGCGGGCTCAGCAAAGGGTAAGAGTTCTGGACTGCCCTAGGAAAACTGGGGAGGAGGCGTCAGGGGTCAGTGGGAAGTAAGGAGGACTGGTTTGCTCGGCTGGGTTTTGCTGGCCGTAGCCTCCCTCCTCAGTGTTGTCCATCCTGGTTCAGCAACAATCAGATTTATGGGATATTCAGGCCTTCAAGTAATTCGGACTCCACGTCAGCCAGGACCCCACCAGACTCTGGAGTCAGACAGTCTGGGCCCACATCAAGGTTCAACCCTTCAGGGAAGGTTGTGGAAGTAGAACAAGTCACTTGGCCTTTCTAGGCACAGTTTCTAGAGCTTGGGGGTGGTTAAAAGATCAGATCTGTAGAGTCCCAGAGGCAAACCAAGACCAAGATTAACAAAGTTTTTTTCTAAAATCCCTAAGGCAGGGACAGGTATGGGCTTTGCCTGAGTGAGAAGGGTAGGCAGCTTGGGTCCTCTGATGGGGGCTTCTGGAGGACTTCCAGAGCCTAAGAAGTGACATTCTCATTGCTTTGGCAGTGTTTCTGGTCTCTCCACCCCCACTTGGGCACAGGCTTGTTATTTTCATAGCTTTCCAGTCCACTGCCCCCACCCAGGAGGGGGTAGTTTCAGGCCAAAGTCCTCCCACTTTATAGGAAGGCAGACTGGCCCAGCCCCCAACTCCTCCCTGAGTGCCTTCTTGGTCATCCCTGTTAGGCTCCCTCCCAGGCCTGGAATCCAAATGAAGGGGGAAAATAGGCATCTACCTTCACCCTTGTGACCTTTCCAGGGGACTTCTGAGTCACCAGCCCTGTAGGAATTTGAGGCCAGGTGAGGCAAGATGGCCCTGCCTCTCCAAGGATACACGAAAAGAGTTCCAAACAGAGACATTTTAATTGGGTTCTGAGTTCTGAAGAGCCTTCTACACATCCGCCTGCTGACTGCTGATTTTGCATATATGCCCATGCTTTAGGGTGCCTTTCTCTCATCCCTCAAGGGTCTGCTGGGATCACCGAGAGCCCCCCTTCAACCTGCGAGGGTGTCAGGGGCTTAAGGGACAGACTAGAAGTATGGGCAGGAAAACTGGCTGCCTTAGAAGTTCTGGCCCCAACCCTACCAATGGAAGGAAAACTCAGGCACAGCCTGAAGGGGGTGGTCCCCTATTTGGCCCCAAGTCCAGAGCAGCAAGGCTGGGCCCACTCTGGCCCAAATGAAACTGTTAGATCCTGTCCGCAGCCCAATCACTGCCACTTGGCAGTGCCAGGATGCCTCTTCCCAGGTCTTATATGGCAGCAGCAGTGGCGGAGGCAGAAGCAGACTTACTGCAAATTGCAGTACAGATACATGGACACGATCATGGCCGCCAGCTGGTGGGAAAGGAATAGTGAGGGATATGATCAGGGTCCTTACGTTTCAGTCCCCTGCCTCCCAGATACTACATGAAGCTCTGTTAGAAGTCTGTCTCCTTCAGCAAGGCCTCCAAGATGGGTCAAGCACCCTGATCCAGTGGGGATATCCTGCCCCAACCTCCTCACCCCCTTACCTCCAAGCCCCCAATTCCAGCTGCCACACCACCCACAGTGACCGCATTGGTTCGGATGTCATACAGAAGCTGACTGAAGCAGCCCTTGGGGGAGGGAAGAGAGGATCTATAGTCAGCAGCTGCACCCCTCTCTCATTCAGCACTTTGAGGACATTAAAGCAGCCCCCAACCTTCTATACCACACCTGTACAATCTTGACATCAGCCTTCTCCTTGGTGCAGGGTTCTGTGGTTGTGCCATTGCCATCGTCAACGCAACAGTATGGGGGAAAGGTATGGTTCTTCATGAAGTAGGGAGAGCCCTCAAAATCTGTGTAGTTGTTAAAGCCACAGCACTTGAGCTGGAGATGAGGAGGGGAGGTGGTCAGTGCGGCCTCATTTCTTTCTCCCCACTCCAACCTCTCTCCCCACCCCAGTACACCTTACCCCTGCCATGGTGGTGTTCCACACTTGGGTGAAGTCTTTCTGGGAACCATAGTCTTTCTTGATGGTAGGCACTATCAGGAACGTCAGGAAGTGCTCAGCCTGGGTGGGGCAGACCAGTGCTTAGGGCTGGGTAGGGAAGGCGGCCCTTCACAGGCCACAGCCCACTTGCAGGGCTTTTCCCGCTCTTTCCCTCTTGCCTCATCCCCACTCCTCACCATGGTGGTATACACCAAGGCAACCACAGCAGCTGCAATCTCAGCGATGAAGATGATGAGGAGGATCAAGAAGAACTGAATGGGGAACAGAAGTCTGAATTTTAGAGAGAGACCGTCTCTCCTGCCTTACTTATTGTAACCCACCACCCATGAAAACAAGGCAGTAGCCCCCTCTGCTGAAGCTCCTGGAGTCCAGAGCACGGTTTGGGGATCCCCAGAGCCTGGTCTCAAGGGTGAGGGGACCCTGGGCCTATGGAGCTGGGTTTGACACACCATCATGAGGGCACACTTGTTCTCAGTCTGAGCACCGTAGCAGCCCAGGAAACCAAGAGCAAAGAGCACAGCACCAGCTGCGATGAGGAAGTAGCCCACGTTGACAAACTGCATGGCACTGGATGATAGCGGCCCGAAGATCTTCAGGAAGGATGACCCATCGACGGACACCCAGATGCCCACTGCCAACAGGGCGACACCACACAGCTGGGGACAGAGAGGCAGACCTTAAAACAGTGTGGGCAAGCAGCTCCTTACCGCGCAGTTGAGTCAGGAAGATGGGAAATGAGAAAATTTCTCCCTTTATTGGCTAAGGAGTCTAAAAACTCATCCTGTAGGGAGGAAAAATATTCTGCAGACCCAGAAAGATGGGAGCTGGGCCACCCATAGCCAGAACCTATGCAGATATAAATGGGATCAGGGGTTCCAGAAATATCTACAGGGTGGGGGAGGGGCAAGACTTTTCCTCACTGCTGTCAAGGTCAAGTCACAGAGCTAGGATTGAAAACAAGCAGGTGAGGCCAGCAGGGCCCCCACACACCCCATTTCCTTGCAGGGGTGAACCGCCCCTGTTCTCTGATAGGTAAAACAGTGGGGTGGTAGCATTGAGCAGGCTCAACAGTCACCATAGCAACAGAGGCGGGGCTGAGGTTTACACCTGCTTCCAACCTTGGAGAGGGACTTGGTGAGAAGGGACATCTACCTTGAGGCCCCATTTGGCTCCTCTCCAGGATCAAACTCACGGCCTGCCCTTCATCTAACCTAGACCTCTCCTTGCCTCACAGGAAAACTGAGGCACCAGAGGGGGAGTACAGCCAGGGTTTCTTTTAGAGGCTCTCTCTGGCTCAACCTCAAGCCTCAGGGATCCAGAGGCCCAGACTGGATAGGAGGTACACTGTCCACATGCCACCGCTCTTAGAGCAAAGCCTTGCTGAGCCAGAGCACCAGCAGATGAATCAGCCTGATATCAGCTTGGTGCCCTGCTATAGAAACTGAGGCTAGAACCAGGTGGCAGACTGTGCCTGGATCCCAGGCATGTTTGCCCAAAGACAGAGAGCTGGGCTCCCAGCCTACAGGGTCAAATTTCAAGGAGTTTGAGACCTGCCCTTCCCTGCCCAGCCTGGCAAAACCTGACCAACAGAGGCCAGAAACCAAACCGGATTTGCCTTTAACCCCCTCGGGCCAGAGCCCCTAGTTTCTCCATATTGCTGGCATCCCTTTGCCTTCTCCAGATATATGGATAAAAGCTAGTGCCCTGAAGCCAAAAGAAGCCCAAGGCATGGACCATATTGGAGTCAGGTAACTCACCTCCAGTCCAATTTCTCCAAAACTCCATCTACATTTCCTTGTCTTCACTTACCCCCGCTTTCACTGACTCTAAGTCACTCTAATGTGGCTCCAAGATCTGTGGTGCCATCCTGTGTTAAATCTGGTGGACACTTCATGTACTATACCCTCCTACCCTCTCTGAGGGCGTTCCCTCCTTGTTTCCTCCCATTGCTCTTTCTCTGTCTGCTTCTTGGTGGCCGTTTCTCCAGAAAGAGAAGTGTGTTTCCCAGAGGTCACTCTGCCTGAGTGCTCTTATCCACTCAGTGGCTTCACTGACCATTTGTGGCCACATGACTTCCAAATATCCATGTCCAGCTTCAACCAGAGCTGGAACCCCATCGGGTACGCAGCTGCCTGTGGGGCATCCCCCAGGTTGCTCATACCAGAGACATGGGCATTATCTCCAAAACTTCAGTCAGCCTTGACCCTCCTTCCGTCCCTTGGCCACTATCTGAGCGCTTTGTCTTTGTCCATTTCTCCCCATCTCCACAACCATCTCCGGGGTTCACGCCTCATTACTCAGCTTTCTCAAACATGCCGTATACAATCTGTTCCCGGTTTTCTGAACAGTATCTGATTTCATTGCCTCTGGGCCTTTGTGCATGCTTTACAATCTCCTCACCCACTGCAAATTCCCAGCCTCAGCTACTTCCTCCAGATAGTCTTTTCTGACCAGGGTTCAAGCCCCTCCAATGGGCTCCCATAGCCCCTGTGCTAAGGTCAGACATAGCACGTTACCACTGTTTGCCTATCTGCCTTGCTAGATCTGAGATCTTCAAGGGCAGAGAAAGGGCTTGCTCACCTTTCACCCCAGCACTCAGCATAGTCTTAGGCAATAAATGTTTGTTGAATGAATAAAGGCTGTTTGAGGCAGATTTTCTGCTCTGAGATCTTCAGGCATCTCTCCTTTCAGCTGCCCGTCCCACAGAGGCCACTGAATTTCCTTGATCACTAGGCAAGCTTGGGCAAACCTCTTCCTCTTACTGGGCCCCCAATGCATAGAAAAAGGAGAAAATAGCTCCTGTTAGCCTACCCTGCCCTGCCCTAAATCTGGTCTGAAACTTCCTGAAAGGGAAGAGCTTCTCCTAAGCTTCTGCACCCCAACTTGTGTGGTGGCCAGGCTACTCCTGAGACCAGGACTCGGCATTTGGGGAGACTTTTGCACCCTATCATAATGGGAAACTTGCACAACAGAGTCTGGGCACAGAAGTGTCCTGTTTCCCAGTTTGGGCTCTGCTTAGGTTGTGACCCACTCCTGTAGGGAGCCCTGAAGAGCCCAGAACCCCCATACTTACAAAGATGAGGAAATTGAAGAGGGTCATCATGGTTTTAATGAAACTGAAGCACTGCATGGTGGCTCCTGAGAGGCAGACAAGTCTGAGTTAGGAATTAGTGCCACCTGCCTCCACTGCCCCCTGGGCTGGCTTTGCATTTGGACCCTGACATACCAGACTCCAGCATCCAGGACCCATAAGTCACCTAAATCCCCCAGCATCTAGACTCTGACACCTCAGGACTTTTCCCAAGTCCTATCCTGACACCCCTACCTCTCTGCACTGCCCCAGCCCTCTACCAGCACCTGACACATTGAGATACTAACACCCCAGGTTTCCCCGCTGGCGCCTCAAAACCAGCCCGCATGCTATAGGTTACTCCATGCCCTTCCTTGGCACCTCAATGTCCTGGACCCCTCCCCCAACCCAGCCCTAGGCTCTTCCAGGATCCTCCCCATTGGCCTCCCAGCTTCCCACATCTGTTTACAGGTTGATTTCACTATATAGGATAATCCCTATCCTAAGCCATCACCTGTTCTGGGCTCTTGGTAGTGAGTTCTGAAAGAAGACTCTGCCGAGGCTCCAGAGGAGACAGGCCGCTCCAGGGAATTGGCACTTGAGTGGGCAGGCAGTGAGACGGAGCTGGCTCTCACACACCACTGCTCACCTGCGGGCGGGGCAGGACTTTTAAAGGCCTCCCCTGCTTGCCTGCCCGCCTGCCCCACCCAGCAGTCAGTCAGCCTCTTGCCGTGCTGCCCCCTGCTGCCTGGAGAGCTGTCCCCACAGCCACTGGAGCAGCGGGGCCTCGTCGGCCTGGCAACGCCAACCGCCAACAGCAGCACACTCTTCCTGATCTGAAGAAGGAAGAGAAGTCTGAGGATAAACAAGCGGCTCCCAGAAGTTCTGTGTGCCCTCCACCACCACTGGCCACGTATGCTCCTTAGCCCGCATCTGCTGATACATGCATACACCCTAAGTGCTCACAGCACACACTCATCTGCCCAAGCTGCCATCTATATACATATGCAGAGATACATACATAAACACCTAGTAGTGCTCATGAGTGTGCACACACACACATACATGCACACATACTCTGACCTGTGTGTGGACAGACCCCCCCAGCAACTAAGAAACAACAAAGCAACATCTGAGGTGTTTACATAAAGTCTCTCTGTACTCCTCTCTGTGTTTCTTTGTCTCTGTCTCTCTCACACACACACTCAAGGAAACAGCCAAGGTTTAGTCACTTCTGCCCCCTCCTCTGAGCAGCAAATGACTCATAGTCCTTTTCCCTCTGCAAAATCTCAAATTTCTCCATCTTTCTCCTCCCTTCTTCTTTCCTACTTACTCAGCTACCTTCCCATACCTTCTCTTGCTTCCCCCTCCACCCCCTATCCAGTATTCTAAGCAATCTGTGTTAAGCACCCCCTTCTTTTCAGCCAGCAGGTGGCACCATGATCCCACAAAAGCATCACCCCAATTCGAAGGCTCCGTCTGTAATCCGTTCTCCAAGAACCCCTCAAGGGCTTAATTTGAACCTCTGCCTGTCTCTTTCCACTGCCGGTCCACTTTCCTCTCTAACGCCACTGACACTGAGGTGCTGGGGAAGTTCTGCCCTTGGAGTCTCACAGACCAGATACTCCAATGCTGGTTCTGCTGCTTCTTAGCTGTGTGACCCCGGGGGCATTTCTTACACTCATTTATTTTTATTTTTTAAATTTATTTTGAGAGAGGGAGAGAGAGAGCATGGGAGGGGGGCAAAGAGAGAATCACATGCAGGTTCCATGCTGTCAGTGCAGAGCCATACATGGGGCTAAATCCTGTAAGATCATGACCTGAGCCGAAATCAAGAGTCAGATACTTAACCAACTGAGCCACCCAGGTGCCCCTTCTTAGACTCGATTTTAAGCCTCTGTGTCCTGGTCTGTGTGACAGAATAGTCAGAGTTTAAGATAAGATTTTCTCCTCCCTCTGGGACAAACGAGAATGACCACAGAGTGGGAAGGTCAGAACGGGGAGAGGCGTCACCAGACGGGGTATGAGATGGATGAAGCGGACTTTTTAAATTTTTAAAAAATTTGAATATAGTTGACATTAATTTGTTGTGCTTTTTTAATAATGAGAGGAGGCAGCTGAAGAAAGGGGGGGGGAGGAAGGGAAGCTAATGACAGTAATATCTGTGTAGATCATGTTTTAAATGCATTACAATATAGTCTTTTTTCCCCTCTTCACAACAACTCTATGAGATTTAATCCCCTTTTAAACGTGGGGAAACAGAGGCACAGCAAGGTTAGGCACTTGCTGTGATCACACAGCTTTTAAGTGGAAGAGCCAGGATTCACCCCTAGCCAGCCTGGTGCCAGAGTCTGTATCTTAACCACCAAGCAGACTGTCTATATTGATAGAATATCTGAGAGGGCAGGAAGAGCTGACTTCCAGAAAGAGCAGGGGAGGAGGTCTTGGTCTGGGACTTGAGGAAGAAGATGGCCATGGCAAGTGGGTTTATAAGGTGTAGTGGGTAGAAGTTGATGGGAGAAAGGTCCATTTTCTAAGACTGAGGATAGCAAGAGAAGAGGCTGGAGGGGGAGTGGGTTTGAGGCCATACAGGGTGGTGCTGAGGACCCTCAAGTCTCCTGGCAGGCTCCTGCAGGAGCAGAGAAAAGGCAGAGGCTGGGAAGGAGGACCAGAGGTGAAACAGGAGGGAAAGACAGTGTGGAGGGAGAAAGGACAAGTCCACAGTCCCACAACAACTCAGTGCAAGGCCTGGCAGAGCCATTGACAATACTATCTCCTACAAGAAAGGAAATGAACCCCGCGTTCACACAGCTTAGAGCCGCTGGGGACCTAGCAGTTCCTCCACCTGCACTGATTATCCACATGGCTTTCTCCTTCCACTCAGGAAGAATTGGGGCCATGTCCCCTCCATCTACATCCCCAGAGCCCAGCACATATGAAGTTGTTAGCGAACATTTCCTGAATGATTGGATGAATAAATGAGTGCAGAACAGCAAGAGTTAAATGTCTGGACTTTGGGCCTTAGCGGTTATGGATAGGAACCCTTGCCTGTCTCTGTGTGACCTCGCCCAACTGAGCCTCAGTTTCCTTATATAGTCGAGTCTCATTATTCATAGCTTCCATATCTGGAATTAGCCTACTCACAAAATTTCATTTGTAACCCCAAACCAATACTTGTGTCACTTTGGCGGTCACTCATGGACATTTGACAAATTTTGAGCTGCCTCATTCTCACATTCTCAGCTGAGGTTGAACAAGAGGATATGCTGCCTTCTTGTTTCACCTCTTCTAATGTAAACACATGTTCTTCTTGTGGGTTATTCAGTGTCACATTTTTTGCATGTTTGTGCTTTTTGTTGGAAATTTTGCCATTTATCAAATAATGCTGAAGTGTTGTCTAGTATTCCTAAGCACAAGAAGCCTGTGATGTGCCTTACAGAGGACATATGTTATAAATGTCATCCAGGTACAAGTTATAGTGGTATTGGCTATAAGTTCAATGTTAATGACTCAACAATATATTTTAAATTAGGTGTCTTTATTTTTCTTTAAGTTTGTTTATTTATTTTGAGAGAGAGAGAGAGAATGCACACAAGCTGGGGAGGGGTAAAGAGAGGGAGAGACAGAATCCCAAGCAGACTCTGCACCATCAACGCAGAGCCTGATGCGAGGCTCAAACTCACAAACTGAGATCATGACCTGAGTCAAACTCAAGAGGCAGGACACGTAACTGACTGTGCCACCCAGGGGCCCCTAAATTAGGTGTCTTTAAACAGAAACACACATAAAATAGGTCATGTTCTGATCGATCAGTTGATGAAAATATTGTGACTAGAGACTGGTAGGAATCTAACCCTGTAGATGAATTGGCTCAATTTGCTAATGCACTATTTGTGGTGGCGACTTTATTAACTACTGTGAATAATGAGAATTGACTGTATATGAAATAGGAATAGTGCCAGAGTCTAAACTTTGTAGGGTTGTTGTGGGATTAAAGAGATAGTGTTTGTAAAGTACTCAGTGCTGTTTGGCGCACAGCAAATGCTTAATAAATATTGTTAATATTGTTGATGTGGATAAATGAGAAAGTGAGGGAGTAATTTTCCCCTACTCAGAGTTCCTTTTCCCTTGCGGCCAGGCTGAGGTTTTCTGGCCCCTGGGCTGGACCTACAGAGAGAATTGTGAGGGAGCCTGACCTACGGGGAGGGGCTCCCCAGCCCCTGTATTACAGGTCCCTAGGACCTGTAATAAAGAGCACCACCCTTATGCAGACTCTATGTCATAGAGACCCCAGCTGCCCTGGTCAGTAGCACCCTCAGGCACACTACAGAAGCTCCCTGTGTCTATGGGGCCTTCTCAGCTTGTCCATGCCCCTAGGCCCCGGGGCTTAAGTTCCCCCTACCGCAGGCCAGGGATGGGCTGGCCTCGGCCTCGATTTCCCAAGATGTTCAAGTGTAGCCGCAGAAGGTATCGGCAGAAACCCCGAGGCCCAACTCCCACCACTGCAGCCACCAATTTTGCCACCATGGCCACAGGTATCAACAACACTCACACCGTCACCACCACCAGTGTGTGGATCCTTCCACCGCAAGGTTAGCCAAGGGCCCTGAGGCAGGGTGGGGGGTTGGAAAAATAGGGCCATGGGTTTCCCTCCACTTTAGCCCTGCATAGGCACTCTAGGGGCACACTCTGTGAGAAATACCACCCCAAAAGTATGGTGGGGTCTTGATAGCAGACATCCTAAATGCTGAGAGCCTTAATGGAGGGCATATTGGCTACAACCAGAGGGCTTCGGGGACTGCGAATCTAAGAGCAGAGCTTCCAGAACTGCTTTCTTCCTCACATTCTTCCCTTTCCTTCTTCTCCTCAGTTCTCAGACACCTCTGTCAACCTGGCAGCTTTCTGATCTTCTAGAAATGTCCAGAAACTAGTCCAGAAGCTTGGCTGGCTCCGGACCTGCATCTCCTAGGGGCCCTGGGTGGTTAACAGCAGATCAATACAATCATTTCTGCTCCAACTGCCTTACTCCATTCCAAGGTGTTTCCAGAGAAATATGCAGCAGGGTATGAGGGCAGGGTTGGGGCTGAATGCTCCCAGGGACAGGCTTCAGTGACAACAGCAGGGATGACGGTTAGGCAATGGACGGACAGGACAAGGTTGGCAACACACACCATTTCTCCATCTTTGGCCTCAGCTTTTGATCTGCCCCAGGAGGTAGGGAGCCTTCCTGCATTGTACAGGGAAAAACGTCTCCAGAGACATCTTGGAAGTTATAGGGAGGCAGATCCTTGAGGAGGGAGGTAGAGGCACAAATCAGAAAGAGATAAGATGAAAGAGATTTCACTACTTGAGTGTAACTCCATGAGTGCTTGAATGTGAGATGTTTGTGGCTCTGTGCCTGTGATGGTCAGTGTGCAGAAGGAGCTGTTGGTGTGTGTGTGTCTGAGTGTGTGTGCGTGAAACCAGCACAATGGGAGCCTGAGCTGACATGTGGCTGAGGGGGCCTCTGTAACCGATCTCGTGCTTCTGTGGCTGGCCGTGTGTCGAGGGTAAGGGGACGGGTGTGCCAGAGACAGGCTTCAGCTCACTAAGAGGAATGAAGGTCAGGAGAAAGGGTGAGGGGCAGCCTGAAGGAGGAGAGGGTTGCTTCTGAGGAGGATGGGCCACCTTCAGCCTCCTAGTTGTTCCCTGAGGACAGTGTTTTCCAGGACTGTCAGCTGGGAGCTGCAGTGGTTAGGGGTGGGGCAAGACTGAGTTTGAGTCCAGAAAGGGGGAGGGTGTTAGGCACTCTGGCCTGGGGATTTTCCATTTGGGTTTCTGAGTGTGTGCCCATGTGTCATCAGGTGTAACTGCATTTCTGTGGGGTGTGTCTCCATGGAATTGTGTCTCAGTGGCAGGAAACATTGTGAGGGACTCTGTCTCTAAGGTGTCACTCTGTGTCTGGGTGTGTGTCCAGGGCTCCCTTCCCTGAGGCTTGGGGGTGGAGTGAAGTCTGAGAGCTTTGGTCTGGCCTCCTGGGGTTCAGGAAGCCTGTGAGGAAAAAATGAACTGTGTCTGTGTCCTTCCACTCTAAAGCTTGCCAGACACTGGGACCCTGAGAGGAGGGAAGAAGCAGAGAATTCACTGACACATCATGCCCAGACAGTGCTGGCTGTGGGGGGGCAGGGGGGAGGGGGAGGAGAGGAAGGTGGCTGGGCTAGAGCCCAAGGTCCACAGAAGCGCCCACACATATAAAGACACATGCCACAGTCCACGAACATATGCAGACATGTAAATATAAGTAGACTCACAGACACACAATGCAACAAACACAGATGCATGCAAGTACACACTTATAAACAGAGATACACACACTAATGCCCGTGGCCCTCCCCGCATGGCATATGCAACAGCACATACACATGCCTGCAAATGAACACATACAGACATGCATGCATCTGACAAGCACATAAGCTTATAGATAGAAACATGCAATCCCACTCATGCAAACCCAGGCACACACAGACACATGCACACGTGCAGACACACTCACCAGACTTCCCTGCCCCTGCAGCCCTGGAACCCAGAAGCTTCCCTCCCCTGTAAGAGTGTGGGGTGTGTGCGTGCATACGTGTGTGTGTGTGTGTGTGTGTGTGTGTACACCCACACTTGTGTTTGTGTGTATCTGTGTCTGTGAGGATGTGTGTGTATGTGTGTGAGTGAGGGGGGTGCTGAGCTGTGGGAACCTGATGACATCATCTCTTCCGGCTATTTTTAGCTCCCTCTGCAATGCCGGGCTCCTCCACAGCCCCTCCTCCTCCAGGCTCCCAGAGGCAGCTGCGGCCAGAGGGCACCCACCATTCCAATGTAGGTGACCCCTGGATGACCGGGTGCAGCTCACTCATTCCGACCCCGCCAGGGCTCCCTGGAGGCTGAGAGCCCCAGAGGAAGAGGCCTGGGCCATGCAGCAGCCTGGAGCAGGAGCCTGGTTAGGTGAACAGACCCGGCTGGTCTCCAGCCCCCAGGGTGCCTCTGCTTCTGCTTTTCAGTCTGAAACTCTGTCTCAGGCAGTAGTGCCTGCCATGTGCCAGGGAGGGTGCCAAGTTCTGGAGACAGCGCAGTGTGCAAGACGGCAGGAGTTCTTCCTGGTGGGTGTTACAGCTCGGTGGGAGACAGACATTAAACAGATCATTGCAGGCACCGCACCCAACTGTGGCGAGGACTTTGAACATTGGTAACAAGGGGATCAGCCTGGGATGATGTTCTCTGTCTCTTCTGTCTCATGTGATAGCCTGAGGAAGCCAGAGGGGCACCCTCCTTTACCTTCCACCTCCCACCCCATCAAGCGCGCTCCAGAACAGAGCGTCCTTCTCACACTCTGGGCTGTGCTCCCAACATTGCACCAACCACCACCCAAGTGGGGACCCACTGCTATTCCCAGCCCCTTTGCTCTGGAGCCTCCCCATGGTTGATCCCTGGAAGCCAGGCCAGTCCTTAGTCCTTCATCTGCAGATGGGAAAATTGAAACAGAGAAGGGCAGTGCCAGACCACGCCTCCTGGTGCCCGGCAGGGGAGATGGGGCAGGCTGAGAGAGGAGGAAGTGGTGTTGGCACAGCTCGAGTAAGAGCAAGGGGTGGGGTCAGGAGGGCAGGAGGAAGAGGACAGTGGCCTGAGGGGTCCCTGCCCAGAAAAGGCTTCCCGCTCCAGCCAGCTTCTGGGCAGCCACCGGAAAATCGGGTTTGTCAGCTTCAGCCAAGCGCCTGGGGGCTGGAGGAGGGGTCCAGACAGCTGTGGGGAGGCTGCCCAGGGGCCCATCCTCCATCCCAGAGTTTGGTTAAGGCTGTCCTGTTATGGGAGCATTTTGTAATACTGGGACCCTTTGGAGTGTCAGGGGAACAGCTCTAGGCTGGAAGCTGGAGCTCGGAATTCCAGTCCTTGTTCTTCCCCAAACCCTAGTGTGATCCTTGGAAAGTCCTGTCCCCTTTCTTGGCCTTAAGTGGCCCTCCCAGGAAGGAGCCCTGGAGAATCAGATTCCCCATCCCCAATTTCTGCCCTCTGGATTTTCCTGGGAGTCTGAGTCAGGCACAGAAACACAAAATCAATGGGTAGGGACTGGACCAGACCGCTTCCAGGGCGCCAGGCTGGAGTTCCCTTGTCACCAATGGGTCAATGGCCGGAAGCCCAGCTCCAGCCCTACAATGCAATGCCGGTCACCCCACCCTGACCAGTACCCTCACCCACACCCCCATTTCCGTCCTCTGTTCCTTCCTCACCTTCAGAGAAAGCGACAGAGCTCCCTAGGGAATCTCCCATACCTACTTCATTGGCTCCCTGCCCTGTACTCAACCCTCCCTCCCCCTCTGCCCATTTGACCGAGCCAGTCTCCCAGTTAACTTTCTTTCCCCGGATCCTGGGGCAGGCCAGGGAGGAAAGGAAGCTGGGTGGAAAGGCCGCAAAAGAGCCTGCTTTTCCTGCTACACTCAAATCCTTGGAGCCCAAATGACGGACTTGTGGGGAGGAGGTAGACTAAATGCTGGGCTGCTCTGGAGCCCCAGGGAAAGTGGGAATGTTACCCTTTTCCTATCCAACCATCTCCTTCCCCTGCCTTCAGCGAATTCAGAGAAGAAAGCCCAGAGCTGAGACTTCCATTCTGTGGAAAACAAACACAGAAACCCAGGACAAGTGAGTCCTGGTTATTGTCACTAAGTCAATGACAAATTCATGAAACACAAATACCATAAAATTCTAAATGCATAGAGTCCACAGTCATGGAATCTTAGCATCACAAGATTCTAGTATGGTGAAATCTGAGTTACAGAGTCACAAATATAGAATTCTGCCATCACTGATTCCCAGATCTCAAGGTTAGAATATCCCTGAATTATAAGCCTTGAGAAGTTTGTTAGTGAAGTCTTTACCTTCAGGTGGACGTCTAGAGGACCCCTGAGTGCCTGGGTGGCTCAGTCCATTAAGCATCTGACTCTTGATTTCAGCTCAGGTCATGATCTCTCAGTTTGTGGATTTGAGCCCCATATCGGGCTCTGCGCTGATGGTGCGGAGCTTGCTTGGGATTCCCTCTCTCTCCCTCTCTCTCTGCCGTTCTCTCTCTCTCTCTCTCTCTCTCTCTCTCAAAATAAATAAACTTAAAAAAGATAAAAATAAATAAACTGGAGGATCCTCTACTGGGGATGGGCAAAGGAGTTCACACATGAAACACATGAACACTAAGAAGGAGGCAGAGAGCTCAGGGCATATGAACTTAGGATATGTTAAGAAGCCTGCAATAAACCAGACAGAGGACAGACATCTTCCCAGAGGACACATCTTGGTTCCTGAGGATGAGGGGAGTGGGTGGCAGGAGAGGGATAGAGAGAGGGGAACTAAAAAAAACAAGCCAAAGAAAACATAGCCTAAAGAAAAAATGATCAAGGGGCAAGTACACCAGCCACAATACCTCTAGTTTCTCCATGATTGGGATTAACACCAGGCCCCAGGACATTTTCAAAGGTTACTAATGGAATGGCAAGCCTCGTCTGACTTTTTTGGGAAGAAGGTACCAAATAGAAAATATTCCATATACCACAATTTCTTGGGAAGAGCAGACTGTCCAAAGAGGGTGCTGAGCTGTGAACAAGACCACGCTGTGTGGTGGGGTGCAGAGCCCCTAGGAAGGCCTTGGTAAGGGACCTCGTGGAGGGCATCTGTCAGGGGTGGTGCCTGGGAGAAGCATCTCTGCAGAGGGAGCCAAACTTGAGGCAGCACTTGGTATGGGGACTCTTGTCTGATTATGGGGTTGGTTACTCAGTAAACGACGGGGATATTTACCTACCATTTCTGGGAAACTACTGCAAACTCAGGAACCCAGAAGGAGCAGTTCCAGAGAGAGGCAAATGCCAAGCCCTTCTGGGCATGGGAAATGGGGCAATGTCAGCGGGAGATACTCTTGCTCGGCTGTCTGTCTTTGGATTCGGCTCAATACCTCAGCCCCGACCTCAGTCCACATCCCCATTTGCCTCCCTCTCCCTGTTTGCCTGTCATTCTACCTACCTCCATCTGCTCTGTGGCTTTTGGCAAATTGTGTCCCTTCTCTAGGCCGCAAACATCCTTTGCTTTCTTTTGAAGGTCTTTTGGGTCCTAAGCGCAGGTTTTAGTATTTCATAGTCCTGGTTTCGTCCAGATCAGTTCCATTTCAGATGTCTCCATTCTCAGCTTCCAGAGAAAGTCTCAGGCAGCTTCAGGGGAGAATGGAGGGAATAGGGAATACAAATAATGCTCACATTCGAAATTCTATATGTGTCAGTTCCTACAACAGGTGTTTTATAAATCTTATAGGATGCTCACAACCATCCTGTGTATATAAATCGTTGCTCCCATTTTATAGATGGAGGGACTGAGGCTCAGGGAGGATAAATGACATGCCTAAGGTCATTTAGCTAGGGAGGACTGGAATCTCAACAAAGTCTATCTTAATCTGAGGGCTATGGTTTCAGATTAGCATTAATCCGTGTGGCCTCAACAGGTAAAGTGAAGGTAATCAATATGGCTGACCCCAAAAGGTAAGGAGTTCCATTTAGGGAAGTATGCAAATAGGGGCTGATGGCATGTGCTGAGAGAAAAGCTGAACTGAGTCTCCTGTTGGGGACTCTCGGTGTTCTCAACTCAGACTGGAGAGAGCTGGACTGGGGTGGGGGTGGGGGGTTGGAGTGGAGAGTAGTGTGGTCCTGGGCTGGTCTTCAGGGGGTTGAGGGGCTGCTGCCACTGTTCCTGGAGATAGTGTGTATTTGTTGGAGAGGGGCTGTGAATGGGGGCTTCTTCACTTTCTGGGATGGCCTAGTCAACCCCCCTCCAACCCCCACCCTTCCTGGAACTGGTTGTCAGGCCCCTGGAACCTTGGGGGCAGGGGACTTTCCAGCTGGGTAACATCATGGTGAGTTGTCATTAGACTTACCTCCTTGAGGTTCTCAGAACCTTTTGGATTCCTAAGCTTCATCAACCTTGCACAATTGCCTCTGTTTTTTTGTTTTTGTTTTGTTTTTTCTTTGAGAGGGGACACAAGTGAGCGAGGGGCAGAGAGAGAGGGAGGGAGAGAGAAGTTGGGCTCGTGCTCACTTGAGGCGAGCCTCAAACTCACGAACCCGTGAGATCATGACCTGAACCGTGGGCTGATGCTTAACCCTATGAGACACCCGGGTCCTACAGTTGCCTCTGTTAACTTACTTAATGGAAGTGGAAGAATTTCAAACGAAACCCTGCACCCTGCCCCTCCCAGTGTTGGTTATCATAGGAGGCTTGGTGATCCAGGAAGTCACTGGCTCACATGGTCAGAGCTTGAGGCACCCCTGGGGACGATTCCATCCAAATCCTTCACTGTAAGGGTGAGGAAGGTTGAAGTTCAGAAAGGGAGAAGGACTTGCCAAAGATCACACAGCAGCCAATGCTGTCCCCACCAAGTCCCAGACACTCCCCTTGGCACTGAGGACACATGTGAATCAGTCTTGATTCTTTTTCTTGAAAACTTGCAGCCTTAACAGAGAACATAGGCTTTATAGACACACCAAGAGAAGTGTCAGAACTAAAAGAGAAGTTCAGACTTTGTACACTGGGGGCTTAGAGAGGCAAGGACACTGACCCTTACAGGCTTCAGTGAATATCTTCAGGTGGTTTTGGAGCTGGGCTGGGAGCAACATTTTAGCTGATAAAAAGGGGTAAAAGGCTTTCTGGCTGAGAAACAGCAGTCTCATGCAGGACATGAATGAATTGCCCTGCAAAGACCCGCCATGTGGGTGGAGTGGAAGTCTGATGGCCTATAGTCTAAGCCAGGGCTAGGACCTGACGTGAGGACTGTCTGCTCTGTGAGCACACAGTAGTCACAGAGGTTCAGGCCACCAGGACACAAGAGCCCCAGCGGAGGTACGGGGATCTCAGGAGACCAAGGCTGGGAGATTCTTAGCAGTGTGGGTGGGGACTGCTAGGCTCTCCCACCCTCCGGGCCCAGGCTGTTTCCTTTCATCCAAGTTACACACATGCACAGAAAACCTCTGTCCCGCTTCCTTCGATGAGGACTCAGGCCCAGGCTGAGGTTAGTCCGCTAAAGAAAAGAGATTACTCCCCACCAGCTGGCTTTCCCGTCCCAGGTTTCTCGGCCAGGGCGCACACCTCTTCCCTTTAAGCAGCTTCCCTCCCGCTCCCCCCACTGCTCCTAAACCCGCCACCGGGCCGGGACAGGACAGGGACGTCCTCTGCTTTGGAACTTCGGTGGCTGCGAGCCCTCCCCTGCCGCTGTGATGCAAATCCGCTCCGGATTTATTCTCAGGCGTCCTTTCCTTCAAGTGCGACGCACCCGGCGCCAGCACTCGTCTGGAAGTGACTTCTCCGGCCCTGACCCAAGGGCGCCAGAGCTTTGAACTGGGTGGGGGATAGGGGCGGTAGTTTCCCGGTTAGCCGCTCCCGCGGCTGCAGCCCGGGGGCGCGGTGACAGTGGGAGCCCGGGAGTTGTGCTGCGGCGGCTGCCGGACGCCTGGGGGCAGGGCTGTAATTAACCACGCCGGGTGCCTTGGGTGCGCTGGGTGGGCAGCCGGAAGCCGCGGTGCGGAAGACCCGAGGCGTAGGAGTGTCCGCGGGGGGCAAGGGCGGCCAGGACCGTGGTCTCGAGGTCGCGGCTTGAGGTTTTTTGGTAGAGTGGTTAGGAGGTATAGCGCTGGAGAGCGTGGGGGTGGAGCGAGGGGGAATCCCGGGCCTTGCGAGGGGCCGCCCCAAGCTTGAGCGCCGCTCCCGACCTCGCCCGGTCTCTGGACTCTGGTCTGTGTGCAGATGTGGTTTGTGCACTAAGAACCAATTAGACCCATCCCTGTCCTCATCTTGCTGGGAAACCAAGCTGTAGTTACACCTCAGACGACCTCTCGAGAGCCTGGCACTACTAGGGTCTGGATGGGAGCGGGAGTGGGGGTGCTCGGTGCACTCCCAAGAGCTCTAGATTCAGGAAACTGCAGGAATGGTGTGAACAGTTTATAGAAAAATGCTATCCAAATCAGCATGTATATATAGGCATAGAGAACTGGCACTTACTGTGCAAACTGCCTGCCAGGCCAAGGGTATTCACCAAATTGACAAAAAGAAGAGTGATTCTTACGTTTTTCGTGGTACTTTCATAATCAGAAAAGAGCAATGAAGTTTTTTTTTTTTTTTTTAATCAAGAAAACAAAAGTAAATAGACCTGGGTTTCAGTACTACTAAGCACTTATTTGGCCTTGGAAATTTTACTTCAACTTCTATAAGCCTTAGTTCTCTTACTTGTAAAGTAATAATAGGAGAACCTAGGCGCAGGTTTTGCCGTGAAGATTAGATGAGCTAAGGCATCAAAGGTGCATGGAACAGTGCTCAGTAAGTGGCAACAATGAGAACACTGAACCTAGTTTGGGAGTGTGTGGGGAACGGAGGAGCAAAAAGCCTTCTGGAAGAATGGAAATCTGAGCTAAGTCTTAAAATAGGAAAAGGAGCTAGTCAGTGGAAAAGAGAGGAAGAGAAGAACATTAATGACAGGGAATGACATGAGCAAAAACAGGCAAGTGAGAAACAGGACACTACAGACATGAGTGAATTTGGGGAAACTACAGACATGAGGCAGGGAGCGGAGATGAGATTAGAAAGGCAAGCTGGGACCAAACTGGGGCAAGGTTGGGGGCTTTAAACTTACTGCGGCTGGTTTTCTGAGAGCTACTGAGGCAGCTTCAGCCATGGCAGGAGGAGATGTGGCGCAGTATGGAGGCCAGGAGACCTGTGAAGAGGTGAGTAGTGGCATGAACTGCAGCGGCCGCCCTAGGATGGAAGGAAACGGATGGATTTGAGAGGTAGAAATGACAGGACTTGGTGATGGATTGAATGAGAGACATGAGTGAGAAGGAGTTGCGAGGACCATAACCTGATCCCCAACTTGGGTCCTCTGGGTGATGCTAGCCTCTGAGATAGGGACCAGGAAGGATAATACATTTGAAGGGAAGCTGAATTCAGTTTTGGACATGCCTGTGGCCACACCCCTGGACAGACCCTCAATAACTGGGGTCCTGCCATCCCACCTGGCAATTACTCTGTCCAGAAGATGGGAGAGGTATCATTAGCCACTGCTGGCTGTCTGTTCCCTGGCTGCGGCTGGCTGGAGATCTGGGTGGGGAGGTTGGGGTGGGGGGTGCCTGCCACCGCTGGGCTGGGCCTAGTGAGTATTCGGTTGTGGTATCCTGGGCTGCTAGGCAATTTCTTTGGGCACAATCATGTTACAGGAGCTTGAGGATTGGGTCAGGTCCTGGGATAGGGATGGTTCTGTGTGCTGCTGAGATTACTGTCTCCATTTTACAGCCAAGGAAACTGAGGTTCAGGAACTGAGTGACAGAGCCAGGAAGTGAACCAAGGTCTGTGTGATGTCTTCTCACAGCACCAGCTGCCACATCACCACATTTGCTCTAAGAGGGGCAAGGAAAGTACCCAGAGCCATGGCTCCTTGGGGGAGAAATGTAATCTGGAGGGGTAGTAGGGATCGAGGAGGGAGGCACAGAAAGCTTCCTGGAGGTGGTGCCATTTGTGTTGTCATAGAAACATAATCTTGTTTTCTGTCTCCCAGGCCAGCAATCTTTGGCAACTAGCCATTGCCTGCAGAGAAGGAGACCTTGTCATCTGAGGGGCCTCTAGGCAGAATGCGTCCACAGAACCCAAAAAGTGGCAGGCTGGAATTCTTGCAGGCTTTTCATGCCTACAATGGGGCACGTTTACCTGTCTCTGGCATCCATCAGCCTGGGCAGCCCTCCTGCACTGGCACTTCACTGGTAGTTGGAAGCCCGGTGCCTACTCATTTTCATATCAGGGTTCAGCACAGTTTATGTTCCACTCCCAGGTTTTGTTTTACTTAAAAAAAAAAAAAAAAGAGGCATCATGTGATGAAGTGATGGATTCTAAGGGAGGACTGGCAAGTACAGGAAAAACTGATCTTTTTGTGAATGATGGGGGAAAGTTATAAGACACAAAGAATATTGCTGATCATCTGTCACCCACTAAGTGTTTGTCCCCAGGTGTCCAAATGACTGAGACAGCCTGACATGGTAAGTGGGAAGCCAAGTTATCAGGAGCTAAGAAGGGGTTGCTTTCAAAACAATGTTTAAAGCATTTTTGCTCATTGTGGAAAATATAAGCAAGTAAGAAGGAAAAAATATATATAAAGCATCCAGCAAGTAGAGATAAACACTACTAGCATTTTTATATATTTATTCTTTTTCATTTCTGGGTATATGTGGCTTTCTTCTATGCGGTTAATACACTGTGTAGACAATTTTGTATCTTGCTTTCTTACTCAACTTCTTGATTAAATTTAATTTAATTACTACACAGTCTTCTACTATATGGAGTTGCTGTATTTTATATTACCAATCCCTAATCCTTACACATAGAGATTTTCTTTCCTTCTTCTTTTTCCTCTTTTTTTAAAAAGTTACTTTAATATTTATTTATGGGGGTGGGGAGGGACAGAGAGAGAGGGGGAGAGAATCCCAAGCAGGCTCCTCATCATCAGTGCCGAGCCCAATGCAGGGCTCGATACCTCGAACCATGAGATCATGACTTGAGCCAAAATCAAGAGCCAGATGTTTAACTGACCAAACCACCCAGACGCCCTTCTTTTCCCTTTTTCTTTCTTTTTTGCTATTATAAAAACTCTGTGATGAAAACCTGATGCATAAAATCTTTGTCCATATTTTGCATTATTATTATTATTATTGTTTTTTTTACAAATTTTTCTAGAAGTAGAATTACTGGATTAGAGGATCAAAGTATATTTAGGGGCATCTGGGTGGCTCAGTCGGTTAAGCATATCCGACTCTTGATTTCGGCTCAGGTCATGATCTTATGGTTCATGAGTTCAAGCAAGGCACTGACCCCCACATCGAGCCCCACACGAAGCCCTGCATCGAGCCCTGCATCAGGCTCAGCACTGACAGTGCAGATCATGCTTGGATTCTTTCTCTCCCTTTCTCTCTGCCCTCCCCCTGCTCGTGTGCTCTCTCTCTCTCAAAAATAAATAAATAAACTTAAAAAATATTTCTAGAGATCTTGATATATATTTCCAAAATGCTTTCCAGGAAGAAAGGTTCTGCCACTTATATTCCATCGCCCTAACAGAAGTATTAACATTAAAAAAAATAAAAGATCTTGCTAATTTGAGAAGTGAAAAATGGAATCTCAGTTTTCTGGTGCTGAGTAGTTTTGTGGAGGTCAGAGCAACATAAATCTACTAGGTGAATGATTTGGTCCAATCTGACTGGTGACTTCATCTACTGTTGAGAAATTGGTAGGATTTGGCCATTGTTGTGAATATGTATTGTTTTTACCTGCCTGGACTTCTCTCTTCCTTTTGGTTATAGTCTTTCAATTTTCCTTGGAGGAACATCCCTTCTCCATTTTTGGTCCATGTGGTTTAAATGGGCCTGCCCCACCCCTGAATTCCCGGGATGAGCATTGAGACCCTGGCCTGACCAATCATCACAGTGATTGGTTTAGTGATGGGCATTTCTATTCCCATTGACCCACATGACTCTTACCTTGTCATCTGGCTTTGGAGTCAGAACTGGTTTTAAATATGGGCTTTGCCCCTGACCAGGGGGAATATTTGCCATTTTATATAGGGTGGACAGAAGAGACTTCATTGGTAAAGTGATATTTGAACAGAGACCTACCGGAAGGGAGGAAGCCTTCCCTGACTATAGCCCCTGACTATACTTGGGGGAAGAATGTTTCAGGTAGAGCAAGTGTAAAGACTCAGAAGTGGGAGTGTGTGGGATGTATTTAAATATCAACCAAGAGGCCAGGGCTGAAACAACGAATTTGCCATCTCTGAGCCTCAGTTTCTCATCTACAAAATGCAGATGATAACAGTGCCTGTGTCTTAGAGTGATGTGATGAATAAATGTGATAATGCTTAGCATAATACCCAGGCCTTGCAAGCTGTTGTTATTAAGATGACAGCTAAGTCTTTAACCTTGTTGACCTTTTTTTTTCTTTATGACATGTACTTCTCCCTCCATCCCAGTTACCTTCCTTTGA